GATAACTTGAAAACCCGCAAGAGAATGTTCCGCACAGTCGCACAGCTCCATAAGGAGCAGCTGTCCAAACTCATGGCCATGCTCAGAGAGACCAATCCCAACTTTGTCCGATGCATCATCCCCAACCGCCAAAAAAAGGTATGAACAGTTGCGCATTCAATGGCAGAATGGATGTGCAGATTAGAAATTTATCTTTAATACAGCATGTTAACATTTAGTTTTTTATGCTGATGTTCATTAATGTACATGGTCCCTATTAAAGGATTAGTTCACCTAAAAATTGTAGTTATCCCATAATTTAATTTGCTTCAAGCCATCCTAGGTGTATAAGACTTTTTTCTTTCAGCTGAACAGAATCAGAGTTATACTGCATAATAAAATTGACAATAGTTTAACATGTGGGCTGTTCGCCCTGAATTAATCGAAAGCATTTCTGTCCATCTCAGGCTGATATGCTGGACCCTCTCCTAGTTCTAGATCAGCTACGGTGTAATGGTGTGCTGGAGGGCATCCGTATCTGCAAACAGGGATTCCCCAACCGCATTGTCTTCCAAGAGTTCAGACAGAGGTATTGGATGAATGATCACAATAAATTATATTAGCATCCGTTAGGATTTGTTTAAATCTGATGGTTTGCATTTTTGCACAGGTATGAAATCCTCACTCCCAATGCTGTTCCCAATGGCTTCATGGATGACAAACAGGCTTGTGTGCTGATGGTAAGTTTAAATAAAGCTTCACAGTGATATCCATTTTTTAAAATGAAGTTTGATTATGAGCTCTTCATCTGTGTCTCAGATCAAAGCCCTAGAGCTTGATCCCAACCTGTACCGGATCGGACGGAGCAAAGTGTTTCTCCGTGCTGAAGTAATGGCTCAACTTGAGGCAAAGCGCAATAAGATGACTGCCATCATCACTTTCCAGGCCCGGTGTCGTGGATACCTCTTCCGCAAGTGAGCATTATGATGCGTCACGACTATTGCCCCATCACTCAGGGTTTTTTCAGTGGTTTAAATGATACAGTTTAATGACAGTTATTTGGACTTACTGTATTCACCTTATTCTGCTCTAAACAAACGCCATGACAACGACTCCGGTTGTCAACTTACGGTTCGAGTCTAGTCTATGTTTTTTTGCCATGTGTTTTAGATTGTGTCATCCTCACATCGCTAAACTAAATCGAAAAAAAAAAAACATTCATCAAATGTGATCTGATCACGTTATTTTTTATTAAATCACAGATAAAATCAAAATGAACGTTTTTCTTTTCTTCATAACTTCCAAAGGATAGCTGATGCTCCCTAATCCAGCAAACATCCGACAGTCTCTAAAACTCCGACTGCAGAACGGTACTAAAAGGTTAGGCTGTTTAGCCCTTTGACTCCTGTCTACCTCTGCTTTCAAAGATGCATCTCAGGGCTGTGAGGTTAGGCATAACGTTACGCCGAGTTTCAGACCAAAGTCCAGTTTGCGTGCTGTCGCCTCTGTCATGATCATCTATTATATTACCTCTTATTTATTAAAACCAGTCAATTGGTTGATGAAACATTGATTTAAATTAAGATTCAATTAATAAAAACGAAATTCACTTTAAAGAAAGGTTTCTTTGTGGTTTCTCTTTAAAATCTCGGTGAAAGTTTTAAAGTCGCTTTAATGTCCGACGTGAATATAAAATGCATGTGTGAACTGATATTTTTCTAATGTCTGGACCACTGATCTATATAATATATCATTGTATATAGATGAGTGGTCTGGACTAGAGTGCTAGCATTCTATGTAAACAATAGCCTACTTCAACAGGAAGTGGAAAACCGTTTAGTCAGTTGAAACCGCAATGAATCATGGGAAATAGAATGGACGCAGAATAAGGTGGATAGTGAAATAAATACAGTATCTCACAAAAGTGACTACACCCCTCACACTTGAACAATCATTTTAGCATATCTACTCAAGGGACAATACTATAGAAATGAAACTTTGACTATTTTAAATATATACTGCTATACAAGCAGAACATGGATATATTTTACTGTATATATTACTGTCCTCTGAAAATAACTCAACATACAGCCATTCCGTGATGTCATTATGGAGGAGTGGAAGAGGATCCAGCAACACCCTGTGCAGCTCTGGTGAATAGATACCACTTTGGACACAGTTTTGACATGTTCACATGGTGTACTCACATTTGTTGCCAGCTATTTTGAATATAATTGGCTGTATGTTGAGTTATTTTCAGAGGGCAGTAAATATATACTGCTATACAAGCATCACATTGACTAGGCCTACTCTAAAATATATCCAAGTTTAATTTCTATAGTATTGTCCCTTGAGAAGATATACTAAAATGTTTGCTGAAATGTGAGGGGTGTACTCACTTTTGTGAGATACTGTGTATATACTGTATAATACAGTGAGGAAAATAAGTATTTGAACACCCTGCTATTTTGCAAGTTTCCCCACTTATAAATCATGTCTGAAAGAGTCTGAAATTGTCAGGTGCACATCCACTGTGAGAGACATAATAAAAAAAAAAAAAAAAAAAAAAAAAATCCAGAAATCACAATGTATGATTTTTTAACTATTTACTTGTATGATACAGCTGCAAATAAGTCTATCAGCTAGAATTCATCCAAATCACACTATGAAATAAATGTTTTTCTCCAAAACACTCTGGCCATAATTGTTGGCACTTTATTATTAAAAACCTTTTGCAACCTCCTTTTGCCAATATAACAGATCTGAGTCTCCTCCTATAATGCCTGATGAGTTTGTTGAACACCTGACTTGAGATCAGAGACCATTCCTCCATACAGAACATCTCCAGATCCTTCAGATTCACAAGTTCATGTTGGCGCTTCTTCTCTTCAGTTCAGACCACTCATTTTCTATATGGTTCAGGTCAGGGTCTGGGACAGTCATGGCAGACGCTTCATTTTGTGTTCAGTTACCCATTTTTGTGTTGATTTTGATGTTTGTTTTGGACTGTTGTCCTGATGGAAGATCCAGCCACGGCCCATTATAAGATTTCTAGCAGGTTTTGATTGTTTTATCTGTTTGTATTTGATAGAATCCATAATACCATGTATCTGAACAAGATGTCCAGGACCTCCAGCAAACAAATAGGCCCACAACATATAAGATCCAGCAGTATATTTAACCTTAGGCATGTGGTACTCTTCATCCCTGTTTGCACCAAACACATCTGCTGGGTTTGCTGCCAAAAAGCCCCTTTTTTGTTTCATCTGACCATAGAATCCGGTCCCTTTTGAAGATCCAGTCGTGTCTGACACCTGAATATGCTGGAGTTTGTTTTTGGAGGAACGAGGAGGATTTTTCTTGAATTTTATTTTAGGCTTTCTGACCCCCAAGACTCAACTAATCTCTGCAATTCTCCATCTGGGATCCTTGAAGAGTCTTTGGACACTCAAACTTTCATCCTCACCGTCCATTAAGAAAATATAGACACACGTCCTCTTCCTGGCAGAATCATAACATCTTTAGTTGATTATAACTTATTGTCCTAATTATTGCCCTGATGGTCAAAATGGGGATTTTCAAATCTTTAGCTATTTTCTTACATCCACTTTGTATTTTGTGAAGCTCAACAAGATGATGAAGTCATCTATCACAATGAATAAAACCTAGATTGTGTTTCCTCATATTTAAACTCCTGTGAATCAAGAAGTCATGACTGGACAATTTCATGTTCCTTAATTTAAATATATTAATGGGAATGTACTTCAGAGATTTTTCACATAAAAAAATTCTAGGGGTGCCAACAATTATGGCCAGCGTGTTTTGGAGAAAAACATTTATTTTATAATGTGATTTACCCCCACTTTCAATTCTTTTACTTCAATGAAAGGTTAGGATTTTGCCAATTTTTTGAATGGAAGATCAAAAGGATAAACGATGCAGATTTATTTTTTTACAGTCAGTTTTGATCATATTTACCAGGGGTGCCATCAATTTTGACCATGACTGTATATATAATATGTATGTATATGTGTATATATGTATATTCCCTGCAGGCTGAAGCATGAAACTGAGATGTCGCAGAAACAAGGTCAGGGCGAGTTCGAAAACACGAAAAAGGCTGAGATGCAGTTTCAGGAGCTGCAGCTCAAATATGACGAGAGCGAGAGACAGCGCATCGAACTGGCTGAGAGAGTTGACAAACTGCAGGTGTTTGACTTAATTTACATCTCCAAAACCCCCGCAGATATTTAGTCATTCACAACATGTTACACAGTACTTTACTTGTTTGTTTATTAAATACCTCATAATAATGAATAGATTTTTTTCCTTGTGTTTAGATAAAATCTTTAATCAGCTATAAATTGCTCCTAGTGACAGTAATTAGTATTAGACAAATTTTCACCTCTAAATCATAAACCTTTATTTATTTTTAAATTTATTTTTAAATTTTGTCATACTGTATGTTTACCTAACGTGCCAAATTAAAAAATAGTAAAATGTAATGCACTAAATAAAAAAATAAATAAAAAAAACTTTTTGCCAATGTTTAGATTTTATTTGTGTTAAACATATAGTGAACCTGATCATATAGTTACCCGTGATACAAAACATCCAAATATAACACTGCGAATAGGAATTTTTGATCAGAGTTTGATGCATCTGGTACTCCCCCTTAAATAACTGACAAAAAACAATTATTAATTGATCAATTTTCACTTTGAATGGAGATAGGGATTTCTGCAAGTGTTTGGCTCTCGCTCACTCTCTGCACCCTGATCATATCCTCACAGAAGTTACTTCAAGAGAAGACTCAGCAGGTACTGTCCCTAAAAACACAGCTGGAAGAGGAGGCTAAGAGGAACCTGGAGAAACTCAGCATCAGTCAAGCACAGGTACACACACAGTAATGAGTATTGAAGAACTGGAAATGTCTTTTGCTGATAATTTACTCGCCCCCATGTCATCCAAGATGTTCATGTCATTCTTTCTTCAGTCGAAAAGAAATTAAGGTTTTTGATGAAAACATTCCAGGATTTTCTCCATATAATGGACTTCAATGGGAACCAAACGGTTCAAGGTCCAAAAGAGAGTTTCAGTGCAGCTTTAAACAACACCAGACGATGAATAAGGGTCTTATCAAGCGAAACGATCGCTCATTTAAAAAATAAATACAAAAGTTTAAGTTTTATAAGCTTTTATAAGCTTTTTATAAGTTTTATAAATGCTTGCTTTGCTCTGTTCTGTGATGCACGTTTGTGACTCTCCTGTTCGAGCTTATTCATCAAAATGAACAAATCTTTTTTTCCGAGTCATTTCGTTCATTCAACGAACGAAATGACTCAAAAAGTTTTATTCATTTTGAGTCGAGCAAGGTGATCATTTGAGCTTATAAAACTTAAACTTTGTTATTTATCTATTAAATGACCGTTTGTCTCGCATGATAAGACCCTTATTCAACGTCTGGAATCGTTTAAAGCCCTTTGAACAGTTTGCACTGAAACTCTCTTTTGGACCTTGAACCGTTTGGTTCCCATTGAAGTCCATTATATGGAGAAAAATCCTGGAATGTTTTCATCAAAAACCTTAATTTCTTTTCGACTGAGGACAGAAAGATTTGGACATCTTGGATGACATGGGGGCGAGTAAATTATCAGCAAAAGTTTTTTTTTTTTTTTAAAGTGAACTACTTTAAAAAAATACAAAGAAGGTGATTTATTCAATCAGAAACTCAAAATATTATGTTATCTGAACCACATTAATTAAAGTTGATTTGACAAAATAAAAAATGTTGTGATTACAAATCATGAACTTTATTTTTTACAGTGTAGCTACTTCAAACAAGTTTAAGCTTTCTAGTTTTTTGTTTGTTTGTTTGTTTGTTTGTTTGTTTGTTTGTTTTACTCCAGAAACCAATAATCTCTCTGATCAATAACTTTTGACCTTATGTCATAGATCCCTATTAAGCTTCTGGAAAAGCTAGATGATCTGGACAGTGGCAAACTAAGGAGGTTCAAATGGTTATTAAAACTATATGGGCAAGTTCCAGTCTCTCTCCTTGAGAATGCAGAAAACACTGATATAGTGGATGAGATGTTGAAGACTTTTGGACCAAATGAAGCTTTGAATCTCACAGTGGAGATCCTGAAGAAGATGAAAGAAAACCATATGGCTGAACAGTTAGAGAACAACTAGAAGAAAGGTGCTAAAGTGAAAAAAAAAAATATATATATATATATATATAGCTGCTGTATAGCTGTAAGACTTTTTTGTGGCACTATAACCAACACAGAGATGTTATTGAACACAAGCTTTGGTAATTTGGATTCTCAGTATGTAGTTCTCATCTCTCATTCCCTGTTTTCTCTTGGTAACCCCTGATTAAGATGTGTTATACTATAATTTGCTCTTTGTTCAGATGTTTGTTATAAGAACATTCTACTAATATTCAGTGTTGGTTTTGGGAATGTAAAAATTGTCCAGTTTTCTTGACAATTGGGACGTGTTTTAAAAGGTATAATGTACCTGAAGCGTTCTTTAAAGGTGCAGTGTGGGATTTTTAGCGACAGGTTCGGTTGCGAGTTTGCACCAGGTTTGCACTAAGGGCTCAGCCCACTGCTCACCCCTCCCTTTCGAAGAAGCTACGGTGGCTAAAACGGGACAAACATCTCGTCGGCTGAGACAGCAGAGAATAGCCAGAGTAAAACAAGAGTGTGTAACATTGTCACTGTTTCTGTACCACAGTCCATTATAAACCACATCATGGATACTGTTTACAAAGCCATAGTCAGGTGAGGATCAAGGGTTTTAGTATATAATTTAATATAATAATAGTAATCAGCTCATTGTCTCACAAAAAAAAAAAAAAAACATTATAGGAACGTTGATTTCTAACATTCCTAGAACACCAAAATATCCAGATTCTTTAAATAGAATGTTATTTAAAGTTTAGTGTGAAACATTCTTTCAATCATTCAAATTAAAATTATTTATGAATATTATTTTATATAAAATACATATTTTATGAAACCTGTTAAACTCCCACACTGATATAAATTCAAAGTCATAAATCTAAAAAAGTTGTGTTCCAAATTTGAGGATGATATCTAAAAAATTAGCTTAGAAAGCTGTAAGATTTTGTTTGGGCAATGTAACAGATTTTCCCCATTGGGTGCCAGCAAAGCTCCACTGCTGCACACAGTGATTGCAATATTGAGAGAGAAAAACTCAACTGCAAATAACAAATCCATACACACATATTTTTATAACACACATACTAACCACACTATGACATCCATACTAACACATCCACACAAATATCGTTGCATAATTTATCCAATTGGCTCTATAATACGCCGAAGCAGAAAACAGGAATAAAGCGAGTATGTGCTTTATAGGCCAAACCTGGAAAAATAGCACCATCCGATAAAATAAATAAATAGTAAATGTTACAATTTTTAAGCCTTGCCAACAGAATGAAAGCCTCTTAACAAAGATTGTATCACGTTATAGTTAAATGGCCTTGGGATAAAAAAAAGCAGTTTTAAAGGCTTTCAATGGGACAATTTTTTCCAAAAGGCACCATGAGGGAGTATTTTGTATAATAGTGCAATAGATTTTTTTTTAAGGAAATGGGGGTGAAATAATACACACCTGTGCCAAATTTTATGCAGTTAGCATTAACACAGGCAAATTGATCCAAAACAATTGAAAAAACTGAAAAAGCTGGATATTTTTCACGTTCCCAGAACCAACGCAACAAAAGTCTGTACAGATTTTTCCCTTATGTTAACCTAGCAGGATGACACTGGTGAACTCAAGTGCTTTTTGTTTACATTAGTTCAAAGTTACAGTTGGTTAATGTAAAATAATGTAATTAAATTGAAACTGTACATCATTAAAATAATCTAAGACTCAAGCTTACATTTTTGACCTGTTTTACTTGTTTTACTTTACTTCTTGACCTGTAATTTCATAGTTTCAGGAGTTGTGAAAAACCTTTAATATGATATATGAGCCTTTGTGACTTTGGCTAAAAATGGCATAATCATAATTTAAAGACCACTGGGAATGTTTAAAAATAGCTAAAAAATATGATCGGAGGGGGACATGCTGATTATCCCCTCTGTGATATGACAAGGAAACAAATCATTAAAATCACTGTTTGCCAGACAGCAAAATTGTGTCGGCCCAGATCCGGCCCACATCTGATATGCAGAGCAGGAAACAATGTGGACATAATGCCAGTGCTAGTCTATATTCAGCTTCTGGTAATGCCTTAATTTACCAGTGAGAAATGATTGCACACAATGTAAAGAGAGACTGTCAAGGTTTGGGATCAGAGTGCCTGTACACATTGAATGTGTAGCCCTACATCCTAAGAGCAAGTGCAACATTAGTTTCTTGTTATGTACAGATGTTGAGCTTATTTTCTAGTAATCTAAGTTTTAAAGAGAGAGAGAGAGAGAGGGAGAGAGAGAGAGAGAGAGAGAGAGAGAGAGAGAGAGAGAGAGAGAGAGAGAGAGAGAGAGAGAGAGAGAGAGAGAGAGAGGGAAATCTCTCATAAATAATGTGTTGGACTAGGCTATGTGATATTGTAATAATGGATTGAACACTGTGAGGTGCTATTAGGCCTACATCACAACATCAATAATGACAGAATTTGCTGAATATATATTTTTTTGGCATTTTCATTTATATATATATATATATATATATATATAAACATGGGAAATATTTCCATCTATTTTCCTCCTCTGATAGCTATAGCCGATGAGATTAAACATATTAAAATGTTATATTAACACATTAAAAATGTGAAAGGTCTGATTCATCACTTTTCCCAAGATGCATCTCTGTACAGAGTAGACATCCTTTTTAATGTGCTCCCTGTGTAAAACATAAATGAAAACATATAAAATTAGTTCAAACTAGACTTAATAGAAAATTAATTATATATTAAGAATTTATCAAAATATTTTTAAAGGGAAATAATGCACTTGGACACAAAATATCAAACACAATGCAGATCAAAAACAACTTGTTTGTAAGTGTTTAGGTTAGATCATTCCCAGCACTGCCCCTGCTTTCTACGTTCTAATTGACCAATCAGAGAGCGTTAAACTGCCAGACAGCCAATCACAGGAAAGATACGAGTTTCGTTGCCAAGTGAAGGAAGGAAGAGGCACGCGGCCGGTCGCGGTGAGTTTGTAATGCGGAAAGTTTCCAGCAGAAATCTGATATTTACATTGACATGACAGTAAAACAGCTCTTAAGGTAAGTATTTTATCACATATTCAAAATGTGCTTCCTTTCGTGTAAAAAATGACTGGTTTGTGTATCCGAAAGCCGAATCGATCCGTGCATATAAACAAAACACAGTTTCCCCGTCAACTCAACAAACCAACAATAACACACGTAAGTCACATACATATGATAATCGATATTATACAACTAAATAATGCTATATTTGGAGATGGTACTGTAGCCATGCTTTGCTTTTAAATATATAACGTTACTTTTGTAGTACTAGTACCAGATAATGATTACGTAAGTTAAATGTTACTACACTGACGTTAAAGGGATACTCCACTTTTTTTGAAAATAGGCTCATTTTACCACTCCCCCAGAGTTAAACAGTTGAGTTTTACCGTTTTCGAATCCATTCAGCCAATTTTCTGATATTTAGAAGAATATCAGTAAACAGACAGTATCTCAATGAGACCAGAAACTGTCTGGTTACTGATATTTTTCTAAATAAAGTGGAGTATCCCTTTTTAAGTGTATGTGTACATCCATGGTAAATCTCGTAGTATATTTCTCAATAGGTATTTAAAGGGCAAATAAACCGGAATCATTTATATTAATGCTT